CCAATCCAGAGAGAGGAGACTGTGAGAATCATCTGGAATGGGAGAGCCTGCCCAATCCAGCAGCACTAACACTTGCTGTCTGTTCTCTCCCTAACATGAGGCATTTCTACACCAGGAATGGTGGGGGGAGCCTGTTTTTTTTCTGCAGAGGAATAGGCATCTTGACCCATGCAGGATGATCCCCAGATGTCATTTCAGTACCCAAAAGGGGAGAGTGTGCTCAGCCCCTCCAAGAACAGTGTGTGCAAAAGAAGCCACAGCTGCGTCTGGTATTTACACATACTGTCGCTAGGGACCCAGTGCTCAGAGTCATGAGTCCTCTGTGTGCTGCAGAAGCCAAGGTGTGGAGCCAGAAAGCTAAATTCGTCCTTCACAAAGACTCCCAGGAGAGGGAAAACACCCTGACTCAAGTCCTGGGAGGCCAAGGGATGGGGATGGTTTTTGAGTCAGAGCAAATGAGCAGAGGAGGAAACCCTTCCTGCAGGACTGGATAGAGAGTATCTGCCAGAGATTTCTGAGGTGTCCAAAGGAGTTAAGGACGTGTCTTGCAATCGGAAAACTGACTCTGCCTTGGGCGTGCTCTTTAACTCCTTTGAATGTTTCTTTCCCTTTCTGTAAAATTGGCATGATAGTAAGAGTTTTGGCTTCACAGGTTGCTGTGTGGCCTAAGTGAGGTCACGTATCTAGAGGATTTAGCTCAGGCCCTAACCCTCATCCTGTACCCCCTTAGCAACTGCGATCTTTATCCCCATTCTCCCAGCTGGCTAGAGCTGAGAGGTGTAGGTGGAGGAGTCTGGGGTCTCGGGGCTTTCAGGTCAAGTGTCCAAGGAGTCAGCTGAGGAGCCCCTGTAACATGCAGCGACTCATGCCTGGGAATGCTCTGGCTTCCTGACAGGGTAATCCTCCTACATTTAAAGTCTGAATCAGCATCATTGACAGAAAAGGACTATCTTTCGTTTTCAGTATTCCAAACTAGCTTCTACTAGTCCCTCTTGATTCCTGTGGGCATCTAGGTTAAGTTGGCAGAAAAAACCAGCAGAGTTGCTTTTCTCCAATATTGATGCTAATATTACAACACTTTTATTTGTTGGGTGCTTGCTATGTATCATTTCATTGTTTTGTGTCTTTTTTTTTAAAGTAAGCTCTGTGCTCAACATAGGGCTTGAACTCAGTACCCTGAGATTAAGAGTCTCATGCTCTACCAACTGAGTCAGCCAGGTGTCCCCATCTAATTTTTAAAATATAATCTTGATGTATTCCTAAAGTGTTATAACAGATATTTATTTATCACAATACACTTATTTTATGGGTAAGAAGTGAAGGAGGAAAAAAGAAGCAGCAATACCAACTCTTAAACCATAACTGTGTGTCTGGTGTTGTATCATCTCCTTTAATCCCCGTGCTCACTTCCTCACATGGACTGAAATCCCATGGAATGGAGATGCTGGAACAGAAGAAGAAAACTGGGGTAGAAGCAATGTGGTGGCAAATAAAACTTGTTCATGAGTACATGCAGGAACCTACCTGGGGACTCCCAGTCACTGGAACACGCTCTCTGGGACCTAGAGGTCCTCATGAGCAAGTGGGGGCAAGAGCTAGCCATGATGTATATTAGAGAATCCTTCTGAACTCTCTCCTTGTCAAATGTTTGGTGTTTTGTTATAAAACACCTTCTATGTCCTTCTCCATATCTCCGGGCCAGGATTCTCCCATGCCAATGAAAACAAACTTCAACTCCTGCCATTGATGTGTCCTTGATGTGGGAGCTCACCTCTTTAAATACAGGTACGGGGCTGTGAAGAGAAGGACCACCCTTAGGGTGGTCTCAGGATGGCAGTGAAAAATCCAGCATTGCCTGTGAGAATCCAGAAGGACCTCTTTGTGAGCATTTCTCAGGCAGTTCCTGGGGGGTTTCCAGAGCCTGAACTCCCTACTAATGCATTCCATTTCTGTGGGATAAGCCAGGACTTTCTCAGATTTCTCTTGCTCTGGAGAGGGCCCTAATTACCTGCCTGCCTCTCTTCCTTTCTCCCTCCTCCTCCTCCTTCTTTTTCTTTTTCTTCCTCTTTTCTTCTTTTTTTCTTCTCCTCTTCCTCCTCCTCCTCCTTCTCTTTCTTCTTCTTCAAACACACTTACCTCCAAGTCCTGGCTTTACGACTTTCTATGTGCCCTTGTGCAGGTTAACCTGTCTGAACCTCAGTTTCCCTTTCTAAAATGTGTGGAGTAATTTCCAGCACCCCTTTAAGCCCTAAAATCAAATTTAACACCAACAAAAGTTAGTTGGGCTGGAAAGGTGCACTTTCTTTGGGCCTCAGTCTTTCCAACATGGAGATAGTACTGACCTCATAGGGTAAGAGGATTGGATGGAATAGCTGCCCTGAGCACACCAACCATGGGCCCAATTCCGCTGTAAGCTCTTTACATGTGTTAACTCATTGAATTCACACAGTATCTCTGTAACAAGACATTTTATTTTCTTAGTGTCTTTACTGATTTTTCTAACTTACTGACGGTTTTTATTTGCTTATTTTAAACTAAATTCTATCACTTCCTATTTTTGACTTATCGACAGCTGCAACACAGGTGGCTTCTCCATCTTCATTCAATATATTCCTTAAAAATATATTGTAAAGGCTATGGCCAAAAATAGAACACTGATGGTGCTAAATCTTCGTACATTAGAACATGAGGGAGGCTTTGAAATATACAAATGACTGATGTCCACTCCACACAAATGAAACCTGAATCTCTGAGGGTAGGGCCACAGACTGATGTGTTTTAAAAGTTCCCCCGTTTATCCTAACAGTTGGCCAGGACTGAGAACCACAACCCTACATCATGAGTCTAGGGATACTTGTCTAGACTAATAAGCCCTGAATGACAGTGAGTAAGGTGGTTATCAGCTATGACCCTGTCTTAGCATTGTGCCCACCCTCCTGCAATGAACCGAGATGTCCAATCTCCCCCTAAATTCAGTAAACATTATTTCTGGCATGTTCCTGATCAGGCTACTCCAATAACCCTATCAGACAAGTTCCGGTTGCTAGCGAGCACTGTTTTCGTGCCAGAACATTTAGAAATATGCTCTAGGGCTTTGCCCATATTAATGGCACAGGTTTATCATTTCTGAAGCTCAGCTTTTTGAAAATAAGAAGTGTTGCCTCTTTTTCAGTTTTCTAGGACCTTGCTCCCTACTTGTCAGAGATTATTAAAAAAAAATCATACCTGTGAGCTTTCTCAGCCCTGTGGGTTCTGATTAATATGTATTTGGGGGCTCAAGGCTCATTAAAAAGTCTTTATGCTCCTTTCCTGTATTTCGTGTCTGTTCCAGGTTATATTCATGTGTCATAAGTTATCCGTTCCACAACTGCTTGTTGAATAGCAATTCTGGGCCTGGCACCGTGCCAGAATGCCACAAGCCACACTAACCTTGGGAGGACCTGGCGTGGAAAGCCCACTCAGCTCTCTCTGAAGAAGTCCTCCTCACAAATCCTCTCTTCCTCTTCAGCATCCCAACCCTCTTACCCTCTCGGTGTGTTTGAGTCATCCCATCGGTTCCTGATCCCTGCCTTTCTGCCAGCCCCCTGGGTGGACACTGCAGGGTCTAATGTCTGTCGGGTCAATCTTGCCTCAGTTTACGTCCTCTTACTGCTGAGGTGAACGGGCCACTAGCCCATTTATCAAACACGGTAAATGACGGAGGAACACACACCAGCCCACTTGGTCGCTTCCATAAAAGGCTACTGCACAGCATTCATTCCTGAAGCCAAGTTGTCTTCTCCAAAACATTGCTCTGTGCCCTGGAAGTGTGAGTCAATGGAGCCTACGTGTGGGCTGTCAGCTCCCCGTGCTGCATTTGAACAGTACGCAGAAACCGGGTCACAAATCTGTTGTGAAAAGGTGAAGTAAATTGGCCTTTCTGTAGTTTCCTTCCTATTCACTTTAAGGTAAATTTCAATTTTTGTCATTCCACAAGTATGCTTCCAAATTTCCTTTACATGCTAAGGAAGTTTATTATTATGGAGTCTGTAATGTGCTGGATTGTTTACCATTTTAATTCCTAGAATCCTCACAAACCCCTTTAGGAAGATACTGCTATGTCTATTTTACAGCTTGGGAAGCTGAGATTCTGACTTATTAAATAAACTGCCTGAGTTCTGACAGAAAGCAAGTTGCGATCCAAACCCGGGTGAGTCTGGAGTCTGAGCCACTGTGCTTTCTGCGGCCTCAGTCGGAACAGCTAGCTCCAGGCCATCCTAGGCCTACGTCATTAATGGACAGTGATACTTATTCCCACTGGATCCAGATACACCCACAAAGTCCTCAGCACCTTATTCCCATGGCCACTAATTACCCTTCAGAGTTGGCAGGCAAGTTGAAGACTATGTGTCATCCTTTCATGATATGATGGATACTGTTGTAGTAACCATATCCTAAACAGAATTTTTACAGCATCTATCAAAACTCTTAATTTTTAAAACTAAATCCCTTTCCATTTTCTTAGAACTAAGACAGATGCTATGTGCTCACCAGTGTTTTATATACTCTGGTTCCTTCCTTTCTTTACAACTTCAACGTGAATCCCTATCTCCCTCTTTTTCTGTCCTCTACACACAGTGGGAAACTTTTAGTTCCTTAAATCGTCGATTCTCCCTTCTCCCTCAGGGCCTTTGCACATGCCGTTCCTTCTCTGTAATATTTATCCCCTCCTTCCTTACCTGGTTAACTTCTCTCCTTCCTTTAGACCTCTTGAGCCCAAGTTAGATCAAGCCAGACCCTCATCCATCCCTTTGGCATTATAGAACTTTCTTTCATGGAGCTTATCATGGTTTGGGAATGTGCATTCATTGTGTCAATATGTAATCAATTCTATCACGTCTCCATTTACTTCCGTAGCCCCAGTGTGTGGCACAATGTGGGCAAACAAATAAACAACCAAATTAAGTACAGACCAATGTCTTGAAGTTTCAAATCAGTACAGGAGTCCCTGAATTTCCAGCTTTCTTTATATTTAAAATACAAAATTTGAAATATTAACCATAACAAATGTGCAGAGGACCTGTCAGGAAATAATGCATTTGTGAAATGAGGCAACACTAGTCAGATGGCATCTCCCCCTTCCCTGACTTGCCCCATGTCACATGCACGCACACATGTGCTCTCTTGCTGGGCTGCTCCATTTCCCGAAAGGCGGTGGGCAGAGAGATGAAGGAGAAGGTAAAGTGCTGGAGTCAGGCTGGGGTTTGAATCCCATCCCCAATACTCTGTTGCTATGCAACGTTTGTCCTGTGACTTAACTTCTCTGTTCTTCAATGTCCTTGTCTGTAAAATCCCTCACTCGTAAGATTGCTGTGGAGATACAGGAGGATAAGTGAATCTGAGGCACCTGCCTAGCAAGGACACTGCCTTGTATAGGAATTCTTCCTTCCCCCAGAGTACAGTACATACTTGGTAAAACAACAGTGCATTTCTTCACTCAAGTTATATGATTAAAATAGCCGATATTATGTCATGGCACATGGTTCTAAACATTCCTCCCATATGAGCCCATTTAAACTCGCAAGAGCCCTAGAAAGCAAGTTCTAGGACTGTCAGCCTCATTTTACATACGAGGAAACGGAGTGTCAGAGAGATCAAGTAACTTACCCGAAGTCACACAGCTCATCCTTCCTGGGCCAGGACTTAGACCCAAACAGTTGCTTTAAGCTCTTAGACCATACACGATAGCATCTCTTGGCCAGAGAATTAGCAAGAAATCATAGGCAGTGAGAAGATCTTGGGCTTTGAAAAGAAAAAAAAAAAAAACAAAAAACTCCCGGTTTCACTATTGGTCGGGTGACCTTGGCCAACTCAATTCTTTCTTGTCTGAAACGGGGATAACCCCCCCTGCCTCTGGGGTGAGAGCCAAGACGGATAAGGAATGTAAAAACCCCTGCACACACTGAGCTAAGACCAATGTTGGCTCTTTCCTCTCATGACAACCAGGCTGGGCAATTTCTCTTTCTTTTATAAAAGTGAAACCTTTGAGTTTCCTCACCAGTAACCTGGGCACAGTAAAGAGAACTTTGGCGCTTGAGCTCTCGAGTTTATCGGACAAAACTTTGTTGACATTGAGCCCACACAAAGCTGGAAACTCCCAGAGGCATAACTGCACAAGCTCTGACCTGGCACAGATTTCCCCTGAATTCTACAGAGTTTCAACACAGCTGAGGCTCTTGGAGAGCAAAGCTCAAGGTTCCGGAAATGCAGAGCCCAGCCCAGGGGAGGGGGGCTCTGTTCCTTTGAATGGGAGAGGGTCTCGGTGATTGAGTTTAGCGAACAGAGCCCAGCCGTGCTTCCCCTGCCCTTCAGAACCATCATGAATGTCTCTCTGGGAACCTCCTCATACAGCATCATCCCGAGTGCTGGTTTTCTTTCTTTCTTTCTTTTTTTTTTTTAAAGATTTTATTCATTTATTTGAGAGAGAGAGAATGAAAGACAGAGAGCATGAGAGGGAGGAGGGTCAGAGGGAGAAGCAGAC